AAAAGGTTCGATACTTGTCGAAATTTCCTTTAAGGAAGTTGGAACTGTACCAGTTGGAAGCTACTTCAGCACTTACTGTCAGATTAGCATGAACATCAGCTAGATTACTGCTCATATCATAAAACTGGTGGTCATCTGCATACATATTAAGGTTTGTATTAATGTCATAAGTTAGATCATTCTGAAAAATGTTCCATAATAACGGCCCAAATGCAGATCCCTGAGGGCATCCCCTTGACACCCTCTCCCAGGAGCTCACTACTGGTCCCAGTTTAACTCTGTTGAAGCGATCAGTAAAATATGAGTTCAGCAGTCTGATACTGTTGTCGTTAACACCATAAGCCTTTAGTTTAGCCAACATGAGAGGATGATATAGAGAATCAAATGCTTTACTCATGTCTGTGGAGAGAACTCCGACAATTTTGCGTTCATCCAAAGCCATTTTCCAGTTCTCGGTTAATGACAATAAAGCAGTTTCACAGCTGTTCCTCTTCCTATATGCTGTTAATTTATCACATAGTTTATTATTAAACCCATGACTTAGTTGCTTGCTGAGTAGCTGCTCAAAGATTTTGTTAACTGTGACTTGCACAGTTATTGGACGATAGTTTTCTTTCTCATGGGGATCTTCCTTCTTAAAGACTGGTGTCCACTCTCCTTTCTTCCACATTGTAGGCCACTCACAACAGGTAATACATGAATTATACAGTGTAGTCAAGGGTATTGATAACTCTCTTGCCCCAGCTTTTAGAGCCTTTGAGGGAATGCCATCCCATCCATTACTTTTTCTAGTATTGAGACTTTGTAGTGCTGTTTCCACCTCAACCCTATTTAATATCTGGAATTGAAAGCTGTCTTGAGCAGCCGAGTTCTCCATAATACTCTGAACACTCGCGTGTGTAGCAAACGTATTGTCAGTAATTTCATTAGTGTTTCCTATCCCCTTAGCAATATTCGCAAAGTAATTACACAGATGATTTGCGATCTTGAATTGATCATGACATATGTTTTCATCGATATTTAGACTCAGGTCAGTGGTGTTGTTCTTTTTCTTTGCACCCAAGAAAGGCATGAAGGTTTTGTAGAACTGACTAGGCTTGGATGTTAGCAAAGTTGATTGATCTTTCCAGTATTCTCTTATCGCCTTTCTTCTAAGTCTGGTCGCCTCGTTCCTCAATTTACGTTTGTTTTCCCAGTTCTCCTTTGTTTGCTCCTTCTGATATTTTCTTGCTGCTCTTCTTTTGGCTCTAATGGCATTTTTCCATTCTCTTGACATATAAGGGACATCCTGAGGCCTGACTCTCATTTTCTTTTCAGGGAGATGTTTATTGACAATACTAGAAAATAGTGATTCCCAGAAACCTACTTGTTCATCAATTGTGTCAAAAATTTCACCAACATGCCATGGAGCTTGGCTTAGGTCTTCCTTATACTGCTTCTCGTCAAATTTTTTCATAGACCTAAATTTGATAACTCTTCCTTTCTGGGGTTTGGCTTTTTACGGACGACGCACCTTGAACGATATACTGTACAGTCACGTAGGCTGAGTTTTTCCTATTCAACACTAACTTAGACTCCTGCGGAACGAGTAAGCTAAGAAGCAATCAAATTCCCCAGGGCGCTTCCCAGTGAGCCGCATACAGAGTAATCGTAACCTTCTGAAACCAAGGTTTAAAATAGCTTTCGTGCGTTGCTGACTGAGCACGCTAACTTCTATAATCCTTTAAGTCAGTTCAGAAGAAACCGTAAGACGGAAATTAATTCTAGAAACAGATACAAGTCATGTAACTTATCGTTTAATTGTCTGGTATAAGTGCCCGGATTACGGCATACGAAATAACAGTGCCTTTGTGTTTCAAGGGCTGACTGACAGTTAAATTGATTGCTTGACTGCATCGGTAATCCTTGATCATCATTAAGAGTACTTTGCATCGAAATGATAAGGACTGTGCAGTTAAAAGGACATTTTTTAGCCCAACTCGGGCTAATTAAGGTCTATTGTAGAACTACACGTAAACCACTCGAACGAGCCTTTTGATTTTTAAGTTCTGTTTCGAAGTGAACCGAACGGTTCTGTCATTAAGTACTGCTTTATTGTTTTGAATATTGCCATTCAAAATATGACAGCCGTTTTCGTAACTATTTGCTGAGAAAATCGTATTTTATTTTACTTCAGTAAGGGGGAGTATAAACGTCTTGTCACCATATGTCGTCACTCCTTGCCCTATGGCATGCCATTGCCTTTCAATTAAATGTTTGTGTTTCAAATAATATGTTTGTGTTTATAAATAACGAAAAACGAAAACCGATAAAATATGAAAATTATAACTCATAATTTGTGAATTATCGCGAAGAATAAAGCTCCTTGCCCGAAGAAACGAAACTTGAGCGAAACTTCGTGCAAAAATACTAACCTTATCACGCAATAGAGAATACTCCCTGCAGAGTACTGTGCAGAACTCACATATTTTTGCAAGGAAACGAAAAAAACACGTAATTTTTTAAGTGCAGATTTTCTGAAGTAAAGAAAGTTTGGTAAAAACCACAATCAAAGAGATGCTTCTTTGCCACTTCAGTATATGTTGGATAACATGTACTCTACAATGTATCTTTCTTACCAGGACACTCAACTATATGGAAGGAAAAAAGTTTAATAGTCTATAAAAACCACTCCACAGTTGAATTGATTACAACAACTTTTACAACAAAAACAGAATTTCTTTTGAGAACTCAGTATTACTGAAATTTATACATACGTGCTTTAGATATACCAAGTAGGATATGGCATTATCTGAAAGCGATTTTTCTGAGAATCTTTTTTACAAATGTATATGCAGACATTACCATAGAGATGATAATCCAAAGGGACTTTAAAAATCATATGCATGTTACATTATACCAGGTCACTTAATAAGCACATCTTTGGAATTATTTCCATGCACATTTCAGGATCGATTATAACGTTACTGAATTTACCGCGTCAATGGAAGATCTATGGAAATTTCCGTAGACATGTCAGGATCAATTATAACTGTGCATCTTAAATTTTGCTGTGTTAATGCAAGGTCTACAGAAATTTCCATGCACAAGTTTAGATCAATTATAGCTGAACATCTTACATTATACCATGTTAATGGAAGAGCTACAGAAATTTCCATGCACATGTTTAGATCAATTATAGCTGAACATCTTACATTATACCTTGTTAATGGAAAGTCTATGGAAATTTCCATGCACATGTCTAGATCATTTATAGCTGAACATCTTACATTATACRATATTTTAATGGAAGGTCTATGGAAATTTCCTTGCACATGTCTAGATCAATTAAAGCTGAACATCTTACATTATATACCATGTTAATGGAAGGTCTATGGAAATTTCCATGCACATGTCTAGATCAATTCTAGCTGAACATCTTACATTATACCATGTTAATGGAAGGTCTATGGAAATTTCCATGCACATGTCTAGATCAATATTATTATAGCTGAACATCTCACATTATATACCATGTTAATGGAAGGTCTATGGAAATTTCCATGCACATGCCTGCATGGATCAATTAAAGCCGAACACCTTACATTATACCATGTTAATGGAAGGTCTATGGAAATTTCAATGTACATGTTTAGATTGATAATAGCTGAACATCTTAAATTTTACCATGTTGATGGAAGATCTATGGTAATTTCCATGTACTTCTCGATCAATTAAAGAACCTAGATATACATGCATACTCAATCATGCATTTCACCTTTTTTTAACTCTTTGTATCTTCTTCTTAAGTACTGGACAGACTCCTTTCTTAGTTTCTCATTCTCGTGTAATTCGATGTCAAAATAGATTACACTTTCTTTGATCCAGGCCATATGATACCCACTTTCCTTTGTAAGTACCTTTTAGCCACTGCACAGTGAAGAAAGAGTTAGTGACTTCCTTCACCTTTGCCAAATGGGGAGGTTTGCAGTTTCCCTCAAGATTAACCGCAACAATGCTACCTGGCAAAACTCCTTCAAAGTTATCTACCTCGGTGACCACAGCCATCTGCCTCCTATAAGCTCCACTGTACACCTGAAATTGTAAACAAATTATAAATTGAGTCAATTAAGTTATCTACACAACTTAATTTAATTCAAAGGACAATTATGTGAAAGCCTTTTGATAGGCATTTTAGTGTGTGTGTGTGGTCACCTAAAGGAAAATTCAGCTGTGGCTGACACTATCTGAATAAAACAAATGATGGAAAGGTTTGGTGGGCACGTACAACAAAAGGCTCTGGCCATATTAAAATAGCTAAGTTTGCATGAGTAGGAGGCTTGAGTTGAGCATACATTGTATGTCTTAATTTTGAGCATAAATCACCTCTCGCACAGGAGCAACTTGAGTTCTGACCATATCATCCACATCCTCAGGGACACCTTCAGGTTTTTGCCCCAAAAAACCCACACTATTCCCAGCAGCCTCCAATTGTTTTTGTCTTTCTTTAACTCTTTCCTTGTTTGCAATGATTTCTTTCAGTGGCCAAGTAACTGTCCTTTCTGGTGGATGCCATCTGGTATTTTCAGGGTCAAGTAGTACGTGATGCCCAATCTTCTTTATGTTGTTCCAGAAACAATCTTGATCTGAAATATTTTTCAATGTCTGATCTGAGCCATTGAAGCTCAAGCTTCTCTGTATCTGGAGCAACATAATCTGGGGGGACATCTACATTTATTTCTGCATCAGCCTGACATAAAGAATGAAAAGCAGGCTTAAAAAAACTGTAGCAAAAACACTTATTCCAGAAATTTCATATTTGAAGGTCATGATCAGATTAGCTAGAGAATGAAATCAGACCTCAACAATAATTATATGTAAGCTTCTAATTAGTAACTTACAATTATACCATCAAGCTGTAACAGAGATCAGTTTGCGATTTTTCTAATAGTACTTGTCATTGTTACTAATATTATTATTAATATTAATTATTATTATTATTATTGTTATTGGTCTAGCATAATGCTAAGAATTAAAATGTAAGATTATCACACTCCAGCTGAGCAAAACAGGTAGTATCTTCAGTGCATAAACAGAGTATAATTATCAATCGAAAGTATATTGTTGAGATTTTTTGTTTTTATTTATTCCGGCTCCAATGTACAGCAGATATTTCCACTCACTTTCACTATAGTTAACCACTGTTCTGGATCAGGGTCTACCAGTTTCCAGTTTTCCTTTATGTCACTCAATCCCCCAGTTCTTCTACTGCATAACGACTTTTCCTGAAGGTGCTTTTGTAAATTTAAAAGCATGAGGATTTGAGATGTTGTGGAGCAGAGTTGAAAAGGGCGACATCCACTCCTTCACAGCAAAAACATGTTCAACCTCTACAGCCTTTGGAGTTGGGGTGTAACAACTCTCAAAGGAGGTCATATTAGCTCTACCAATTAACCAGAGAAAACATTTTAACATATTGTATCCATCCACATTTTCAGGAGAGGATAAACATCAATCAATTGAAGGCTTAAAATATAACTGTATAAACATGGCCATGACTCAATAATTATACCAATCTACTCTTCTGCAGATATTTTGATTCTTTTCATTCTGTTTGTTACTTGGATAACACCAGCTTACGTATCAGGTATACATGTCAAATGGCAGGTGGTCAAATTTTCAAAGGTAAATTCCTAACAGTCATTTTCCAAGCTAAAAGTTCACTGATTGCATTCCTCCTAACAGTACCTTTAAAGGTTCTTGTGTCCCTCTTTACCAGAAATTCAGAAAGCCTGTAAGACAATTTAATATGACTATATCAGTTAACAACAACATATGCACAAAATTAGAATTTTGAAGCTGGCAATTAAGTATCATCCCAGCAGTGAAACTTTGACTAAGTATTCAGCAGCATTAACAAGATGGTTCTGCAATGTAACTACTCTCAAAGAGAGTTTTCCCCTCAACTTAAATCAGTGAAAATGAAACTCTCAGATTCTTACTTGTTAAACATCTGGTCAACAGCTTCATGAGTGTGACCAACCATTAAGAAATTTAGTTTTACCTGTAAAGACAAAAATTGGATTTGAGGGAATTTTTGTTCATGATCACTGCCATCCCCACCCCATAGTGTCAGTAGATTGTTGCAAATCATTAAATACAAACTATTAGGATGAACTATATTTCATTTAAGTGTATCACTTTTCAAACTTCATTTCCTTATGAGCAGCGGGTACAACATACCTTAACAAAAATGTCAAGCTTCACAAGAAGGGCTAAAAAGTTGAGAACAAACTGATTTTTATTCTCTCTCCAACAGTTGTCCATTTGAAGGTACAAGGTATCAGGCAAGTCTTCTCCCATGCTTTGCAATTCCAGGAGTAATATGTTAATGGTGAGATTTGCATCATGGGGATATTGAAATAGGTCAAAATAACCTTTAGGCTGCCTCCCATGGTTTAACACACCAGTCAAATGGGTCCGGAGTTTTCTTGCATTAGCATATGCATGTGCAATAACTACTAATCGTGGAAGGAGAAGTTTTGCCTGATCCATACCATCTTGTGCAATACATGCATATTTTTGTGGATACTTTTTAGCTTTGTCCCTGTGGTGGTAATACACTTTTCTCTCTTTCCTACAAAAAAAAAATGTATGTTTTTACATA